AGGCTGCTCGTGTTCCTCCAGTAAAGACTCCACCGCGTGCGCCGTTCGGTCCATCGCTGGTCTTCCAATTGTCAGATTCGATGCACGCCCATTGCTGTAGTTGCAAGCCGTACCTTAATAGCAGGAACGCCTTTTTCTGGTATTGAAACTGTTTCCCAAAAGTCCTTGCCAGCAAGGAGAGTGATCTTCTCTTCCAGTGTCAGAGACTGGAGAGTAGTCTCAACTTTTGAGCTCATGGCTGTAGATGTGTGACGAGATAGAGCCGTGACCAGGACTCTGAGACTGGGGAAAAGAGAGTATAAACGTTGTTTTTTGCTACATGCAGCCGAGATGCAAATTATACGTTGCGAGTACCACCGCTTGGTACCTTTCTTTTAAAGTGCAGCCCTTCAAATCTTATGTACCTAAGTTTCACCCGCTCCACCCCATCCTGTTTTCGGGCTGTTTGTCCGTCTTTCCGATAGACATGCTGTTATCCCACCAACCTCTTCATCGCGACACGATAATGTGGAGAAGCACAGATATGTATCATTGGCCGATTTTAGAAGCCAACATAGCGGGATTGCTATGTGTACCGAGGTTTTGCCATCCGGACAACCTGATTCGTTCTCGGACTGGTTTCGCTCGGCATCTTATGGATGAGCCGAAGAATAGCCTCAAGCGCGGCAAGCTTTTATCCACCCGGCGTCAGATGACTGGGAAACGTGGGGTGCGAGCTTACATATGTTGAGGAGAGTATGAATAGCATAAACGGATGAAGTGCGAGGGTTGCAAGAGGGAAGTTACATGCTTCCACAGCTTAGTCAGATCCGGATGCGGAACCCTTCCGAGGCTCCATCCGACACGACAGCGGGACCCACGTGTGCTTGGCTTGTACCCTGTCAAGGTGAACTTTGTTGTGTATCCACTGAATACGTCACGTCTTGTAAACGCTAGGGTTCCTACTCTGCACACTTTCTTTTTGTCTTGTACAACGTTCTATCCTTCGAATCTCGTTTATCAGGCGGTCATTTCACTATCAAGTTATCTTCTTTTACAATCTTGATCATAATCGTGAAGAGCGAGATGGCATCCAAAACGTCGGCTGAGATCAAGCCCACGTCGAGCCGGCGGCATCCGCTCCAACGATTTGACTCTCCCTCTAAAGGATTTTCAGGTGCTGTGCATGTGAGTTGCAGAACCGAGTTGTCGTGAGAAAAAAAATAAAGACAAACTTTACATGCTGATCAACTGGGACGTAGGTCATTGGCCTGATTAGTTTCTACCTATCTTTCAAATTGTACGTGCTTCCAAAAGGGTAGAACAAAAAAAAGAAACTAACATATCCAAGTTTGGCCGATAATCCAAATGTCTTTGTATGTTTTTACAGTTCACCAAGTACGATTACACACAAGTATCCTGACATGTCGGTTAGAGTTCTTCATTTGGGTGGCATCTCCAATTCCTGACCATACTCGGTCTCTCCATCTCTACCCTAACCTTCATCGTCGCCCTTTTGGCGGACCTGACATCCACAGCCTTGGACCGATCCCCGGATATGCCTTCCGACCCACCCGCAGCGGCTTTCTCATTGCACCTCTTTAGGTTGAAGAACTACCTAGCGTTGGTCGCAGCACCAATGGAAATCACCATTTCAGTGCTTTACTGGACAATCAAGGCTATTGATGGGAAACTGCTTGTAAGCCCGTATGTATAACTTTGTTTTCTAACCTACTCAACGCATTGCCGTCGTCGATATGATAGTAGTTGGTCAAAACGAACAGGGCTGACGTGAATGTCACAGAGAAATACCACTACCACCCGTATTCTATGATATTGGATTTCATCTCGTGCCTGCTGTTGTTCTTACCGTAGACTCTCTGCTGCTCTCCCCTCCATGGCCCACAACGCCCATGAACGAGTCGGCGCCCATGATAACTCTTGCTCTTTCTACCATTGTCGCCTTTTCCTATTGGATCTGGATCGTAAGTCATGAACTTCTTGACTTTTCACATGTTGCTTCGCTGCTCTGACAATGCCTTAGGAAATCTGCTACTCTCAAAATGGCTTTTACCCGTATCCAATCTTCCAACTTCTTACCACCACCCAGCGCGTGGGCTTATTTGTGGTAAGTGGAGTCATCATGTGGGTTGTTGGCGGGGGTTTAAGAATTGCATACGCCAAGGTGAATGGGTATGAGAGTGTTGAGCATCTAGAAAAAGTGAGGAGGAGTAAGGTCATGGGTGGAAGCGGAAAGTGGGAGTAAAGGTTAAGAAGAGGAATGGAGTATGAGAAGCTGGATAAAGAGTAGAAGGAACCAACTATTTTGGGCATATTATCAGAAAAAGGAAGAAGCATTCACAGATATCGAGCGAGAATCGATATATGAGTAGAAAATATTAATTAGAAGAGGGTAGAGTAATTGCGGAGATGAAACTAGAAGCCGCCCAAGAGTACATGGGCGTACATGGGGTGCACAGCCGTGTGTTTATAGACAAGACATTGAAACACCGAGATAGATTCTATCACAGCTACTTTATTAACGATGAAGACGTAAAAGCAGCGATACTATATATGCTCAGCAGCTGTTCACCAGCAACCCATTTTCATCAGAAAAATTGAACAGTAGGGAACGGTATAGAAATGAGAGAGGACATGTCTGAGTATCTTTCCAGTGATCTTTTCAGCCTGCCACTCTTCGGATATATCATAGTCGACGGTATAGGATACGGCAATAAATTGTATGATATCATGCAAAAGCGGAGCACTAAAATGTCTTTAAGAGAAGACGCCCGAAGCGTGAGTTTGTAAACGCATCGAGAATGGTATGCCAAGTTGTAGGTATCGTGTTGAGAGTTCGACATGACATGGTAATCCTTTAGCTCGTAGACGGAGAAGGCGGCGCAGTGACAGTGCGTTGGTCGTCATCGTCGTCTTGGTCGTGTTGCGGGTAGTCATTAGCCGCATTGTACAAGTGGGTACTGTACTGGAAGACCTGATGATCAGGGCCTAGGCCATAGGCGTAAGCAGGGTACTGGTAGCCAGTACTCTGATGGCTATGGACGTTGCCATATGCTGTTTGATGAAACGAGGGCATGATGTTCTCCTTGTTATCGTATTGAAACGAATCATTGAAAGGCTTGTAAGTATGAAAAGGGGCTGTCGGACTCGGCGAGGGCTGACGTGTGAAGGCCGATGTCAGATAGGTCATACTGCTAGGTTGTGAGAATGAAACTGCGCTGTCATCTTGGTAGACATCAAACCGCTTTCGCTTTGATGCGCGAGCGCGATTGCTAGCGCGGCCATAATCTTCATCGTACTGGCTGCGATCCAGGAAGGGGAATGCAGGGTGATTTGGTTGTCTGGAACGACGAGAGGTGTTGACGTCGAGATGCGCGAGTGCAGGACGCCTGCGCATTGGAGGAGAGCTCTCGGATTTGAGCTCAACCTCATCTCCATCAGACTCAGAACATGAGATTCTTCGTTGTCGCTTGAACGTCCCCAAAGGAGTGAAAATGAGCTCCGTTGCCTCAACATCCAAGGAGTTGAGCTCTAACTGTGCAACAACAGAACTGTCTTTCTTTTGGTTCCTCTTGCGGCGCATCTCCGGGGTAGCTGAATCAAAAATGTCCATCCCAGGCCAGTACACACCCTTGAGCTTGGTTGACTCACTGACAGCCATCAAGTCCGCTACATCTGTAGGATCATCCTCAATTGCACAAGAAGCCGCTGCATGTTGGTATGATCGCCGCCTCTCGCTTGGGTCCGAGTATTCACTCGAGGTCTCATAATCGGGGTTCGTGTAGCTTTGAGAGCTGGCGCGCGACTCTGTAGGCCAGTATTGCATATGGGGCGCGAAAGTGTTGCGGTTACGGAGAACTGGGCCTGCAGTTTGAGAGATGGGTGAAGGCGATTGCTCCACCTTTATCGCTGTATGCTGGCGCTGTTGCTCTGCGAGACGGGGATCGAGAAAGTTACCAGCGGCGGCAGCGCGACGAACGGGACGTGGCACAGGAGCCTCAATCTTGGGAGCAGAAGTAGAACGGGCTACAGGTCAGTGAAGTTAGCAACATTGCCATGCAATGGACCGCAGACATCATGGGCTATACCAGCTGGCTTTGCCCGAGTGCGACGTTTGTCCTTTTGATTCATCCGCTCCGACATGAGCTCCTCAACAGACCACTCAGCATACCATTGGTCGTATGTCTCGATGAGTTGACGGGATGATTCCTCATTTGTGGAGCGGACCTTGACCTTGTAGTAGTTGGATAAGTGGCCCTTGCTGGCGATGTGGGTAAGTAGATGGGAGACATCGCTAAAATTTGGTTTCTTGGGACAGATGTTGCAGTGAAGCGGTATGTTAGCCATGCCGGACGATTGCAGAGGTCGCAGTCTGCAAAGGAGAAACTGCAGCGTGAGCACTGGCGTTTGTAAGGAGCGTAACTGGAGCAGACACAAGAGCAGCACAGCGGCACAGTAGCAAATGCGAAGTGTTGCGAAAGGAGCGGGCTGACAGAGGAGAAGGCGAAGTGGCAGTGGAAGACCTGCTCATGAGAGGTGCAATACAGAGATGGCTGCCGACCGCTGCGGTAGCTCCAGCCCATGGCCTGAGCAGGTAAGAGGAAGTAGAGAAAGAGACAGAAGCACTCGCAGTCAGGACATGGGGGGAAGGCACACAGTATCTGCAGACGAGGGGAAAGTTTGTTGGTGGTGTTCTAGCAGGCAGAGCACGTGGAGAGGCTCGGCACTGACAAAAGAGGCAGCCACCGTTACTTTCCTCCCGCTTTGTGTCTCAGCACCTATGGAGAAGCCGTGAGGTATTAGATAGCGGGAGGGCAATGGCAGGAGACTGGACTGCGCACGCACATGGACTGCCATGGGGCAGGGATGCAAGCAGTCGCTCCAGAGCTGGATGCATCCAATGACGGGTGACATGTACATGGTGAGTGCAGACATTTACAACTTGCACTGAGCAGATACGAGAACAGGCCGGACGCAGACTTGATCCATGGCATTACCGGTCACTTACCTAAGCACCTACGAGTCACAGATCGAGGCATGCAGCTAGTTCAAAGTCAGTGTCTATGTTCAGGACACGCGAGAGAAAGCACATACTAGACGGGATCTACCTCTTCAAGGCCTGGGTACTTGAGAAGACTTAGACCAGCAATGCCGAAGACGGTATGGAAGACATCGACCATGTCGCCTGGGCGGTCTGCGAGGCCACCTAGTTCCGGGTCCTACAGACATCAGATGCAAGCTCGAGCAAAGACAGACAGCTACGTACCTGGCACTGCAAGATGAATTGCGTCAACTTGGTGCCGTCTATCCAGTGCAGCTTGTCCAGCATGGCCATGCTGCTCATGACCCACCAGCTGTAGCAAACATCTTCCTTCTTCTCTGGCCGCCCGTTTAGGCCACCATTTTTGAGCTGTCGCTCGCTCAGCCATGCGGCAAGCTTTTGGTGGTTGACAAGGTCGAGTCGACCAGCGATGGTCAGTGCGCCAACACACGTGAACACCTGCCCAGCGTGCGACTCGGCGCCAGGGCTGGTTCCGTAGCCGCCATCAAAGTTGGCGCACGAATGCACGTATTGAGCCGCTTTTGCAACATCGACCAGATTGAGCAGTCCCATGAGCGAGAGGGCATTCAGTGCACCGTATAGGAAGCGAGTATCTTGCTCGCCCCACTCGTCACCTGCAAATGTGCCTGTTTGGGGATCCTGCAAGTTTGCAATGACTAGACATGGCATGAGTGCGACTATTCCTCCTCGTGCGAAGACGACGAGCGACGCGCGAGCAACTTACACTGTCCAACCTTGTGGCGGCCGCCGGGGATGCGCTCGTCAAGCTCGGCAAAAGCGTCTAGCGTAGCGAGTATCTGGACGGCACTCACAGTGTAGAGCATGTGTGCATCGTGGCCGGGGGCAGCACCAAAGCCGCCGTCAGGGTGCAAGCAGGAGAATACAAAGTCCAGAATGCCAGCCCTAGGAAGGGCATGGGGATGGCCGAGGAGGTGCAGGGCCGTCAGCCCCCAGTAGAGGCCGTTGAGGCGCAAGTGCTCGGTGAGCCAGTACTCGAGCTCGTCTTTGCGCTGGAGCGGGTCAGCGCGGGATTTGAGGGCCGGGTGCTTGCGCGGCCAGGCAAAAGCAGGACGCACGCACAGTATCGAGGCTCTGGATGTAGCGGACGTGCTTGTCGACGAAGAGAAGCGTGTTGTCGGGCATGGCCGTGGTGGCAGCACGCCCGGGCCCAGAAACAAGAGACATGTTAGAGACTGGGGGGGTGCGGTTGTGGTGGTGGGAGGGAGGGAGGGATCTAGTGCTTGAGTGACGGGTTACAGGAGTGGTGCATTGGTGTCGAGCTTGGGTGCTTGCGTCGGACGACAGGGGTGGGCCTGAGGCAGCTCGGAGCGGGCGAGGGAGTCTGAAGATGTCTGAAACAAGGCTTGGCAGGCTGCTCATGGATGTAGCATGCGTGCGTGACATGGAGCCATGGACACACACACGCATTCGCACTTATTTTGACTTTGCACGGCACGGCACGGCACTGCGCTGCGCTGTCCTCGGCGGCGGCTGGTGTATGTACGTATGTACTTGTGTGCATAGTACATACGTACATCCAGACACACTTACATAGATACGGACATGTGTGCATATACACACATGCACTGTACCCGCTCCTTGGCGTTTGTGGTGAAGTGGTTGCCCCGCCAGCCAAAGTATGCCGGCCCTCTGTAGACGCATTTCAGAGGAGAGATGGAGAGAAATACTAGAGGCTTGATGTGTGTGTAGTGATGGCAGCAGCAGCGAGATGAATCCGTAGCACACACTGCGTATTCACTGTGCCGCGCATGGCCGGCGGTGCATCCGCGGTGGACACCTGTTTGCGCACGATAGCGTCTCTGGGCCGAATTGGGGTTTTAGCAGCGTCGCGCGTCCTCGTACCTGGGGCCGTGCGCTGGCCTCGTCGTTGGCGCTGCCGCCCTTTGCAGCCCATGGCCTCGCTCCGTCGCACGTCGCAGAGCACCAGAGCACCAGAGCAGCAGCGCAGTGCAGCGTAGCGTAGCGTATCGTAGCCTACTGCAGCGCATACATCCACGTCCAACACCAACACCACCTCCACCACTACCATCGCAACAACCCCCTCCTCCCACAACCACGGCCAGCACCAAAACCACACACACACACCACCGCCACCCTCGCCTCGCGCGCGCCTCATGTGCCCGGCGCCCACCGCCCTCTCGTCCTTTTTCGTGCCCCTTCTGCTGAGTGCTGGCCAAAGCCCACCCCCTCTCCTCCGCCGTGTCCACCGCCCGGACACCGCACTCGCCCTTGCAACGGGCAGCTAAGCCTGTAGTCAGGAACGCACGCGTGCTGAGCCCCAAAATAGATCCACTCTCCCCATTCCCTTCCTCTCGGCGCGTGAACCCTCGTCGGCCTGCAGAGGCGTCGTCTTGTCTTGTCCCTGTCTTTGTCTGCGCCCGCCAGCGACTCCAGCCGACGCCTGTCCCCTGTTTTGGGCGTGCATGTCTGTGTGAGTGAGTGGGTAAGTCGACCGATGGCCCAGACGGGCATTGGCACACCTCCCTCGTCCGCCTTCACCTGTGCCCGCTCCAATGTTGTACAACAGTCGCCATAGCGCCCGCCCCTTTGCCGTTGCGCAACGCTTGCTGACTGTGTCCCAGACGTTGCAGGGCCGCCTTGCTGTCACCCACCGCCCGACTCGACCTCCCTAAGGGGAAGCTGCCAGAAAGCAACGGGCCTGCAAGCGTCAGCCCAGTGCCCAAGAGCCAGGGTCACGCCCTTTGTATTCCCCCCCGTCTCTCTCCCGCCTTCCTGCATGGAAACCACGCCTTGCCGTTGGTGAGATATATCTGACCACATCGCGACACGACGCACCCACATACATACGCCTGCACACGACGCTGACCAGGGCACACACAACTACTTGACCACCCCGACCACGGTTCGTACTACCCCGCGCCCTCTGCTAAACTCCTTCGCCTGCTCTTCCAGCCCCTCATGCCCACGATTGAGCGCACCGCTGACTGCCATGGGCAAACACAGCCTCTCGCACTGCCCAAACACTCATGTGCCGCGTCCAATAAAACAATCACCACCACCACCACCAACACCACTGCTCCCACCGCTACTGCTATCACCACCACCACCACCAACCCTACCTCTCCGCACGCGCCGCATCGCCTGTTCGCACGCTTGCTCTACTGTTTGCATCTGGCCCTGCTTCCCCTCCGCACACATTCATTGGGCTGTTTTGGAATCCCCACCTGCAAACTCGGCGCGCGGACTGGGACAAGCTTTGCTCTCAAACAGAGTTGTAAGACCCAGCCGGTAGCCTCGAAACCATCTACGGCAAATACCACACACGATGCCTAAATCTTCGACACTTTCGTTGGCCATGCGGGGAAAGCCCAAAGATAATGGTGGTAGTGCGCCCCTGAGTCCGAGGAGTCCACGGTCACCAGAGATGCTCGACAAGTTCGACTACGCAGCACCCAACGCTGCTTTCCACAATATGCCGCAATCACCAGCCTCACCCAAACCTCGCAAAGACTCCAAGAGCATCTTCGCCAACTTCTCCGCTAACAAGTCATCCTCGCGCCTCAACCACAGCCAAGGAAATTCGTCACGGCAGCTTCACGAGCAGCAATCGTCCCCAACCCTGTATTCCAACGGACGGAGTGGCGCATCCACACCGGATCTCGGCCGCCCTGTGCGCACTCCCAATTCCGATGGTAAGGGCTTCAATTTGACCGAATGACCCAGTTTTGCTAATTTTAGTAGACACCAGCTCCGAAGTCGTACGCTTAGACCAACGGGCACCTTCTGCCTTATCAAACGACTCTGACCTGCACACTGACCCATCCAAACGCAACAACCCAAAACCAAAGAAGCAGGGTATTTTGTCGAGGTCCAAATCTATCAAAGAGGGGGAAGGCTCGGGATCGCGTACAAAACTGAACAAGGTGCCCCCAGGGCAATTATCACCAGACGTGGCAGGCTCGTGGACGACGAATGGCGACGGTACGCCGCTGAAACCGACAACAATGGACAAGGGTCAGTCATGGCGCCAAATGGGAATGGGCAAGATGCGAACCCACTCGACAGAACGGCAAGAGGCACCCAAACCAATACCACACAACGATGACGCTGGATCAAGAAGAGACAAGTCAGAGCAGTTATCGGTTGCCTCCAACTCCTTCAACGAGACCAAAGGACATGGTTTCATTTTCAAGCTCGGCTCAGGGGCTCGCAACATGGGAGAGAAGATGGACTCTGCACGCAAGGGCGTTTTCGGCAAGCTAGCACGAAGTTCGAGCAACCACGAGACCCAGACGCCCGTAATGAATGAGCCATATGTCTGCAAGATCATACACAAGCCACTAATAGAACAGACGAGACTGACCAGAATATCCACCCGGTTAGAACAGTCACGCGACAAGACTGAATTCTGGATGCCGGCTCTGCCCTGGCGATGTATCGAGTAGGTAATTTCCAGATTGAATGAGCTATGGTCACTAACCAATACTGCAGTTACTTGAACATGAGAGGTTGTGAAGAGGAAGGCTTATATCGTGTCCCGGGATCTGCCCAACAAGTTCGATATTACGAACGCAAGTTTGATGAGGGTATGTTTCATCATATCTATCACGTTTGCAGTTACTAACAATACTATAGACCGGGATATCGATTTGATCAGCGACCCGAACCTAAACGACCCCAATGTCATTGGTTCCTTGTTCAAGAACTGGCTACGACAATTACCAGACGAAATCTTCCCAAAAGCGATTCAGGCTGCCATCCAACAAGAATGCCAAGGCGCAAAAACAACGCCACAAATGCTCAAGGATGAGCTGTCGAAACTGCCCCCATTCAACTACTACCTTTTGTTCGCAATTACTTGTCACATCAGCCTCCTCCATTCTTGTTCCGAGTTCAACAAAATGAACTACAATAACTTGTGTATCTGTTTCCAGCCGGCAATCAAAATCGACGCCTTTTGTTTCCAGTTTCTAATCTTGGATTGGCGAAATTGCTGGCAGGGCTGCTGGACAGAGAAAGATTTTTTGACAGAGGAAATCAACTTCTTGAACTCTCTCGAGGCCGAGAACCAACAGCAGCAGCAGCAGCAATTACAGCAGCAACAGCAACAACAGCAACAACAGCAACAACAGCAACAACAGCAACAACAACAACAAACATCCTCGAAAAACGGCCAGAGTAAGAGCAAAGGTGGTAATTCATCAAACCAGAAGCCTTCTACCAAACGGAGTCAATCAACTGACTACATCAAACCCTCTTCTCGCGGAATCTCGTCTGACAGAAATGGGCGTGCTACGCCGCCCAATCCTCCACCGGTTTTGTCGGAACCTGCGAGCAACCCTGTACTGCGCATGCGTGGCGGGGGTTACAGTGAGCGTGAGATGTCTCCGGAACGCCTGACTTCGTCTTCAGACAGCCGAGAAGGGGTTCCCCACAAACGAGGTGTTCCAAGAGCACCCCCGTCAGTCAGCACAGAAGCATCTTCGGTTGACTTGGACGAAAATACTACACCAACCCAAGCAAACCATATGCGCGAACACTCAGAATCGACACAATTCCGCCTGGACCTGCGCGATCCACCGGGCTCTCCCTTCAACATCAAGTTCTGATGAAGACATGGGGGAAGGGGGGGTTCAATTGCAAACAATCATCCCCCTGGGCGCGTATGCATGAGGTGACGAAAAAGAGAGGGTTGGATTTGAGCTGTTGTTTTGCGCATCTTCGTTTCGTCCCGCGTGAGCTGCCACGAGGTCGCGATACCCATCTTTTGATCATTCTGAGCTCGTGGCAGCAGTATTGCTTGGTATCTGTTTAGTAGCCAGCGTTGGAGTTTGGGCTGCATGCATATTCATTAAGTGCTTTATTCCTGCATCATGTTGCATATAGGCGTTGGGAGAGGGTTGGGAAGTAGCATTGGAGGGAGCCCACTTGTACCATATGAGGATGCGGTGGCCAGAGGGACATAAACAAGCTTTTCCAGTGGTAGTTTCAGCGTATTCAACAGTTTCTTTGGAGCCAACTCGATTGCGTTGGGACGGACGCCCAGCCCTCGCGCTATTGGATTGTAGCGTTGTCAGGAACGGGGCGGCAGGCTGGGGTTAGAGCTTGGGGCAATGACGTTTCCCGCGTGTTGCGCTTGTGGCCGCTGTGTTCTAGTACGCGACCGCCCACTACCAATCTCACACGTCTCCAGACGTTGTTGCTGTCTCTTTTTTCCCCACACACACCGAGGGCCATTGACAGCCTCAGAAGCTTCTGCGCGTTACGGCCCCTCGACTGTTGAGAGCCTCAGTTGAGCCCATTGGTGCACTGCATTTCTCCCCCCCGCACAGCACTCGCCCAGTTGTTTTCTCCTCACTACTCCCTCGTTGCAACCCTCCTCGAGTGTCTGTTGCCATTGTTTACCGCCAGCTCAGCTTGACTCTTTGTCACTCGACACCATCATGTCTGTAGCATTGCCACACCACTCCAAGTCTTCGGACCAGAGGGTTGTCTACCTGCTGCCATTGACCGACTACGGCACGCCAGACGTCCCCGGCACGTACATTTACCTGCCTCCACCAACCAATCCTGCATACTCGATATGCTTCCAAATTCAAGGTACCAGCTCAATATGTCGGGAGGGCAGTCTTTGGGTGAACATTCCTGAAAAGGGAAACAAGTTTGAACGCAGCAACTACCGCGAGTACAAGTAAGCTCCTGCTTTCTCCATGGTCTCAACGCCCCTAACACTGGATGCAGACTAGAGCCCAACTTTACGGGCATGTGTGAGATCGAGATTCCTGTATACGAGGCCAATGCCTTCTCCTTCTACACAACCTACACACCACTGCCGGAGTGGTCACTTACGGACGTCACGTCACCAGAACCCACGCGTACAGACACATACTACATTGATATTTGTCCGAGTCTGGAGTTGCATGGTCAGCACTTGCCGGTCGAGGCTGTCTGCATCTTCTCTTGCCTGTCCAAGTTCATGGGGAACTACCCCACAGACTGGGACAACCACCTGCGGGGTATTAGCGAGCGTGGCTACAACATGATCCATTTCACACCGCTGATGATGCGGGGTGATTCAAATTCTCCATACAGCATATACGACCAGCTCACATTCGACGACGCCATCTTCAAGAATGGCGAAAAGGATATTGCGGATCTGGTCCGTAAGATGCACGACAAGTTTAATTTGCTTGCTATGACTGATGTCGTCTGGAACCACACGGCCAACAACAGCAAATGGCTTGAGGAGCACCCTGAATCTGGCTACAACGTTGACACGGCACCTCACCTGCGTCCTGCTCTTGAGCTCGATACAGCCCTGTTGCAGTTTGGCAAAGAGCTCAAAGAGCACGGTCTACCAACCACATTTGAGAGTGAGGCCGACCTCCTGAAGGTCATGCAGGGCGTCAAGGACCATGTCCTCAGCAAGCTTCAGCTCTGGCAATTCTACGTTGTCGATGTTGATCGAGATACCAAGGCCATAATGCAGGCCTGGACATCCGGCAAAGTCAACTTCGTTGACACCAGCTTCAGTGAAGCAGGCCCTAGCGGGCTTGATGCAGTCCGAGACTGGCCGTTAAAGCAGAAGGCTGACTGGTTGGTTGAGCATGCACTGCGTGGTGGTGATCGAATGGGCGAACGTTACCGTCGCACAATGGACCCGAGTATCGGTGCCAGCCTCCTCTGCGCCTTGTTTGGCCGGTACGACACTAGTACCAGCAATACGCCAGATGATCGTGCAGCACAGGGCACAATCACGGCCATTCTCAACGAGGTCAATCTTCCGTTCTACCGTGAGTATGACGGAGACCAAGCCGAGATCTTGGAGCAGCTTTTCAACCGGATTAAGTACGTCAGGATAGATGCCCATGGACCTAAGCTTGGAGAAGTCAACGACAAAAACCCACTGATCGAGACATATTTTACGCGGCTACCGCTCAACGCAACTACGAAGAAACACAACCCCGAGGCCCTTGCCCTTGTGAACAATGGTTGGGTTTGGGCGGCGGATGCGATGCGCGACAATGCTGGACCCAAATCCAGGGCATATCTAAGGCGCGAGGTCATTGTCTGGGGCGATTGCGTCAAACTTCGATATGGAACCGGTCCGGAAGACAACCCGTTTCTCTGGGACCACATGGCCAAGTACACGCGACTGATGGCCAAGTACTTTCAGGGTTTCCGAATTGACAACTGTCACTCTACACCGTTGCATCTTGCCGAATACATGCTTGACCAGGCACGAAGCGTCAATTCCAACATTATGGTTTGCGCTGAACTCTTCACTGGCTCTGAAGAGATGGATTACAAATTCTGTATGAAGCTCGGCATCTGCGCGCTCATTCGGGAGGCTATGCAAGCATGGAGTACCCAAGAACTCAGCAGGCTTGTACATCGTCATGGCGGTGTTCCTATCGGCAGCTTTGAAACCGACGAAGTGCTCAACGCTGCACATGCAACCGATGGAGCAGACACATCAAAACCGATCATCAAAAAGATCAAGCGCAGTCCGGTACACGCGCTCTTCATGGACTGCACACACGACAATGAGACTCCAGCCCAAAAACGTGATGCTCGCGACACGCTTCCTACTGCAGCGCTCGTTGCCATGTGTGACTGCGCAACTGGTAGTGTCTTTGGTTTTGACGAAGTCTACCCTGAGCTAATTGAGCTTGTTCACGAGAAGAGGCTTTACTCCTCGGCCAACTCTACCGGCGCCCCCATCAAACCACAAGCTGGCGAAGGTGGTATTGGAGGTATCCGCAAGATCATCAATGAGATCCACGTAAAAATGGGTAAAGAGGAGTACAATGAGACGTATATTCATCACGACAATGAATACATCACCGTCCACCGTGTCAACCCTCATACCAGAAAAGGATATTTCCTGATTGCTCATACCGCATTCCCAGGCTACAGTGACAGCAATGGAGGGTTTGGCAAGACCAAGCTTCCAGGTACACAAGCAAAGCTCATTGGGGCTTGGAATCTGGAAGTTGACAACAGCGCGGAAACAAGAGCTAGTGTGATTGGCGACAAGACAACACTGCGTGGCTTGCCGAGCAAGACAAACGACCTCGAGGGAGTCAAAATCGAGCTGGCTGGTGATGAGACGACAATAAGTATCCCCGAGAAGTTTCCTCCAGGCAGTATCGCTCTTTTCGAAACCTGGGTACCAAGTGCCGAGCATGCCGATGGTCTAGACAAGTTCGTCACCAGCGGAGCAAAGGCGGCCTTCAGCGGCGTTAACTTGACTGATCTGAACTACATCTTATACAGATGCGAGGAAGAGGAACGTGATGCCACAGACCATAAAGACGGAACCTACAACATTCCTGAACACGGGAATCTTGTGTACGCTGGTCTGCAAGGATGGTGGAGTGTGCTTCGTGACATTGTCAATGACAACAACCTTGGGCATCCTCTTTGCAACCACCTTCGCGAAGGACAGTGGGCCCTTGACTATTGTCTTGGCCGTTTACAAAAGATCTCTGAGAAGAAGAGTTACGCCAACATCAAAGGACCTGCCGAGTGGCTAGAGTCGAAGTTCGATGCCATCCGCAAAGTTCCCAACTTCATGCTCCCGAGATACTTTGCGCTAGTCATTCAGACTGCATACAATGCTGCAGTGGAGCGCGCAATCGAGTTGATGGGCGAGAACGTTCGAGAGGGTAACCAATTCCTCAAGAGCCTTGCGCTCGTCAGTTGCCAAGTCACTGGCTACATGAACAGCGCGTCACTGTGGCCAGACAAGAGCGTGCCCAGCATGGCTGCCGGTCTCCCTCATTTCGCCTATGACTGGGCACGATGCTGGGGTCGCGACATCACCATTTCAGCCCGCGGTCTATACATGGGTACCGAAAGGTATGATGACGCCAAAGAGCACATCTTTGCTTTCGCCAGTGTTCTGAAGCATGGCATGGTTCCCAATCTTCTCGGTGGTGGTAAGAACCCACGCTACAACTCTCGTGACTCTGTCTGGTGGTTCCTCCAAAACATCCAGGATTACACGAAGATTGTGCCAAACGGCATGGATATCCTCCAAGAAAAAGTCAGGCGACGATTCTTCCCGTACGATGACACATGGTTTGCGCACACTGACGAACGTGCGTACTCCAAGTCTTCTACTATTGAAGATGTCATCCAGGAAGCCCTTCAAAGACACGCCTCGGGTATAGAATTCCGCGAGTACGACGCAGGTCCCAATATTGATAGACAGATGAAGTCGGAAGGCTTTGACATCAAGATATGGACAGATTGGGAGACGGGCTTGATCTTTGGTGGCAACCAGTGGAACTGCGGTACATGGATGGACAAGATGGGTGAGAGCGAAAAGGCTGGCAACAAGGGTGTTCCCGGAACGCCTCGAGACGGTGCCCCCGTTGAGATTATCGGTATGCTGTACAGCACCGTACGCTGGTGCGCCAACATGTACGCAGCAGGCCAATTCCAGTACGAGGGAGTGAAATTGGACGACGGCAAGAAGGTTACTTACAAGGAGTGGGCCGACTTGATCAAGGCCAACTTTGAGCGGTGCTTCTACGTTCCTCACTCTGCTGAGGAAGATGGAAACTACGACGTCAACCCCAGTATCATCAACCGCCGCGGAATCTACAAGGACTTGTACCGGTCAGGCAAGGAGTACGAGGACTACCAATTGAGGCCCAACTTCCCTGTCATGCTGGTGGTTGCTCCGGACCTATGCAAACCCGAGCATGCTCTGAATGCCCTTCAGATGGCCGACAAAGTGCTCCTAGGACCTCAGGGCATGAAGACGCTCGATCCCTCTGACCTCAACTACCGGGGCTATTACATCAACAGCGAAGACTCCACGGACTTCCACACGTCAAAGGGCCGTAACTACCACCAGGGACCTGAATGGCTCTGGCCTACAGGTTTCTTCCTACGTGCCATGCTCAAGTTCGACCTTCAGCGCCGCAAGACACCCGAAGAGCGCATCGAGAGCTACCAACAAGTCACGCGTCGTCTGGCCGGTTGCATGAAGGCTATTCAGGAATCTCCTTGGGCTGGTCTGACGGAGCTGACGCAGAAGGACGGCGACTTCTGTGGCGACTCATGTCCCACGCAGAGTTGGAGTGCCAGCTGCATCATCGATTTGTTCCAGGATGCGCGAGAGTACGAAATGGCAGGGTCAAATGGTGTTGGCAAGTAGATTGGGTAGTCGGTAGATGTGGTCGGCGATGATCGGGTTATAATTCGTGGTTGGTACATACAAAATAGTTTGGATATTGTGACATATGAAATGATGACATAGTGTGTGTTCTTGGATATCGTTCAATAACCTGTGATCTAAGTGTGTTGTTGCTGCCTCACCTTGAATGAATGAATGATAGATATGTGATGTAAAGTATCAGACAGTTTTGTATCTTGTCTCTCTGCAGGTTCTTCACTGTGCCATGGTACTGGCTACTCGACTTATACAACGTACACGCCCCCAATTTCCAAAATCAAAGACCTCTCTGTACCATGAATTTGGAGAGTTTTATTATATCAGTGTTCACTTGGCAATAGTAGTTATAATCACCCGTTAGACAGATACCCATCTTTTTTTTCTCTACCCATTTCTTCCTCTCTCTCTCTTCCCCCTCTCTCCTCTCTCTCCTTTCTGCTTACGGCCACTTACGATAACCTTTTTTCCCCTTTTTTTCCTTTTAGAAGTCCAAGTCTATAAAAGAATAAGAAGAAGAAGAAGGGGAAGAAGGGGAAAAAAAGGGGGGGTTTCATGACAAGCGACAAATCACGTAGATTAAAAATGCTGCGGGAAGACCCGAGATGGTTGGGGGGGTGGGAAGGAACCAGGTCTGAGGTACATTTTTGTGATTTTTTTTTGCTTGTAGAGAATGAGGTTAAGTCGGGAAGGAGAAGGGGGGGGGAAGGTTGAAGTCGGCTATTCACCTTTAGATATGAGAGAGAGAGAGAGAGAGAGAGAGAGAGAGAGAGAGCGAAACTCGGACCGCCGCCGTCGTTGTTATATCGGTTGCTGTTACCTGTAAAAAAAAAGTTTTTTTTTGCATCACTTAATATTTACCGAATAGCTGGGAACAAAGAGAAAGAAAAGGAAAATTATGATTGCAGAATAGTTTTGTTTTCGCCGTTATTATGGGCGTTGAAATGCATTGGGTAGAAAAGGTGACCTTTTTCTTTTTGCATTTGCATTTGCCCATGTTTGGTAAATACGGGATTCTTTGGGGATTTTACTTTACCTATGCAAGCAATTATGCATTATGCTTGTGTTTTTTTTGTTTTCTTTCTGTCATAGGGTGGGATGGGTATGCATGCGTACAGCGCCACCGCTGTTTTTCTTTACACTCTCACTTTTCTTTTCTTTTTTCTATTCATTTTTGGGGTTCAGTTGTTCAATTCCCGGTACTTCTTCTTCTTCTTCTTCTTGTTTGTGGCTAATTCCTACGTATACACCTTCTTCTCGAGCAAAAATAACTCGTGATAGGTTTACCTGTGTGAAATGACAAAATGCCCCATACACACGAACATTGGTGTAAGTTCGAGACCCCCCAAAAAGGGGGGCGTAAATGGAGAAGTGCAATTGATAAGAATTCTCGATGAAACTCGGAGAGTGATAGAAGGGGAACTTTTACTGGGTTGGTCTCGTCACAAAGGCCGAATGAGGGTAGGCGTTGAAGATATACGGTCACGGGAGAGGGAATGAAAGCGAGTGGTGAGAAAAGAAAAGGATTACCGAGAGGAGTAAGGAGCGAAAAGGGTAAACCAGCGTGTTGTTCGAGCGTCACGCTGTACGGGGGGGGGGGGGAAAGCTAGAAGCACAAGACTAGTTCCTCTTTAGGACATAGTGGAGACAGGGCGTACGAGGTTAGACAGCGAACTCGGCAATCGAGCTTTGATCTGATAATACTAGCAGACTGTCTAGGTTAGGTTTAGGTTTTGTTTGCTTCTTTCTTTTTCCAATGAACCAACCAAACCTCATCTTTTGCCCCTTTGCTTTTATCGTCAGCCTAGCTTTTGGTTTTTGCTTTTTCCACTCAACGGTCAGCAATCCTGAATCTACAGTGCATACCCCACACCAGCCATTCCAATGTGTCGTCGCCGGACAGACTTGGCTAAGGTGCGTGCATTACATGCATGCATGCGCGTAACATCTTCAGCTTATATTTTTTTCCCATTTTGTCCCGCTTTTTTGCAATGCGCCATTAGCGTCGCTCATATTTCCGCTTTCTGGGACTAGGGGGGAGAAGCAAAACTAGGTGGCGTAGCAAAAGGAAGTCTGCGGGACAGGGGAGACACGGTTCCTCTGGTTGATGACTTATCCCCCCTCACCCCTCACCCCCCTTCTTACCAAATGCACCACTCCTTCTTCCCTTGCCCACCATGCAACATGCAACATGCAATATGCAGACGCCATAGCCGTAGGTGGGAAACGCCAAAAGGACAGGCATTTCCTCCACCAATTCCTTGTTTCTCCGTAACCACTCATGGATACATACGGCTTGTGGCTACAGGAGTTCAGGCAGCGGGCAGAGCCAAAAACAAACATAATATCATAAGGCGGAAAATGGGGTGAATGTGGAGAGGATTGCGGGAGCAAGAGAGAAAAGAAAAAGATATTCGTCAAAGAGTTCGGCCATGTAAGCCGACGTAGGTACTACGCATGAGACCACCATTCAAGCGGCTACTACGGGCGGTAGCTTCGGTAGAGCATAGAGAGCAATGCTTGTATGATCTCCATTACGATACGTCCCTTTGAGGCTTCCTTCCTTCTTTTTTTCTTCCTATCTGGCTGACGCTAGATGTGTGGACGCCGGCTTGCTTGTAGAGTAGGATTTGATCAAGCCACTCATCGAGTATGATTGGTAGATAAAAAGATGGTGTTGGAGATCTGCGTTCTGGGCGTGATAAGTGTTATGGCGTGTGGATGAGAATGGGCCAGTCTGGCTGATAGTCATCTTACAGAACAAGACTGTGGCGAAGGAAAGCGTAGTCTAGAATAGAGGACATTACACCGAGCAGAATACAGCCTGAGTGGCTTGAAAGTATCATTTGATATCAGGAGACGGCGAGGTCGTGTGGGCAAAGGGGCTTTTTGGCTTTGAGCGTATCATGAATGGATCATCCGCATGGATGCCCATGATTATACCGCATCCTGCCAAGTGTAGATGACCCTTGTATTATCCATGTACACATGGAAGTACATACGCCTAGTCTTCAAAAGCACGGTGCGTCATTCATACACTTTCTGTTTCTGGAGAAGGCGTGATCATGTGCTCTTTCTGAGAGGAAAGAGGCGCGTGGCTGCACGAGGGACTCGCAGAGAGGCAGCCTCAATTCGTCTCAACAAATAAGCTGTACAAGACGCAGACGCCTAGTATGATCTACAGCGCATAGCAGATGGTGTGTTACAGGGCGATGGCGATGCATAATGTGACCAAGCCGTCACAGATATTATAGGAGTCGCGACGATCAAATTGATTGCCTGCATGATTTGGATGCTCCTTGATCTTCTAGCACCGTATGAAAAATCGTAATCTCGCACAACCTCCATCCTCCGTTTGTTTTTAACTCCTCTTGGGTCAATATTCGTATCCAGTTATAATCAATTCAACAACACGGCGGCTGCATAGACTAGGAAGATAGCGCTCCAGTTTTCGACTCTGCAATGACCGATCAGCTGATCAAATACGATCTCCACATCCCAATGATACATCCCTTGACTAGCGGTCTGTATCTTGTCACCACTTTTGCGTTTTTCTCCATTGCAGCCTTGCTTCTCCAGCACCCCTGCCACGGGAACCGGCATGTCACTGGATTATGTTCAATGCTGTCTAGAACACATGATGGTCTGGGGTGGCGTTGTGTTGATGGCAGAGGAGCTTCATAATAGGCCTCCGGCTGCATGGATCCGTGGCCAGAATTGTCCATGTCTAAAACGGTAGGATAAGGCGATCACCGTGCAGCCTTATGCAGGTGACGCGGCACAGGTTGAGAATAGGAGTGGAGTAGAACTCGGCGGAGACAGAATGAATGTAAAAGCGATTTCAAGTCCTGAAGGCGAATGGCAATGTCTGGTAGACAGATTGTGTGTCTCCAAGAACACAAGGCCATCCCGGCAAGGACAACATGGGTATGCAAGCGCTTACCTATGGCGTGTCGAGCGCAGTTGACATGGCCATGAGGTGGTAGCAATCCGGATCGACACAAGCGTCTGAGCCTTTCATCGGCCATGCCACCTATCATGTAGTAGGGTTGATGACCACCAGGAGCTTAAATGATTTCTTTTTGAAAACATCTAGAAGAATGGACATGGATGGCCATTAGAGCCACCAGGCGAAGGATTTGAGGATCCACCGGCGGCATTGAACAGTGGCTGGATGCCTGTGGACGCACAGCCCAAGCCTTGCTCGGGGCCCATGGTAATGTCGTGCAGGTGAAAAAAAAACGCACAACCGTATCATGTTCGCGAAGGCTCTGAAGCCGTCTCCTTCGGTGCAATCCACGTCTAGGAACGATCCTGTAGGATGATGGCATGGATGTAGACTCCTTCGTTACTGGACACGCACACTACAATCGCACGGGTTCGTCCAATCGGCAAGGGTATCTTGCTCTTCGTTCCCCTCGCACTGTTGTGGATGCACCCATGTGCCAACGCCTCCGCCCGCCTGCGACAAAGATTGAATCAGCGCAACTGATCCGACTCATTTTTTACTCTCCCCACAGGCTAATAAATTATTTCAGGAGCAGTGCGCATACTTTTCTCTGTTGGTCTTGGGGGTTAAAATAAGGTACGGACGCGGCCCGGATAGCGAGCCCCACAAAGAAATAGGAAGGTAGTGAAACCGTTGGTCCATGCACGCCCAAATGAGACACATTTGAAAGGCATTCATGTGTGTAAGTAAACATACTGTGCCAAAGCTAACGTATGTTTATGGATTCCATTTGATGGATGACAGTGCTAATTCCAAAGCGTCGTCGTCGTTGCTGCTGTTGCTACAAAAGTGTATTACAGATTGCTGTTGGGGCCGACCAGTTCCGATCCAACGATCCATCACGAGCACGCTCTCGCCCATCTTTCCACATAAAATATCAAATGCCGAGGCACGACTGCGTCTGACTAAAGCAGGAGGATGGTGACCTTCCGACAAAAAGGACCGACCGACGGCAGAGTGACCTTTTTCCAACTGC